ACACTTCTCACAAGTGTATTTTTCTTTCCTAATATAGAAAATTTGAAGTATAAAATAAGAATTTTGGAATGCTAATAACAATTCCTTATAATTAATACCTTATTTACTTATGAACATATAAATTTATTTTCATTTTCTCGATATGAAATTCATACGCTCAAAATAAAATTGTTCATGGACTTCTAGATGAGTTTCTCTCATTTTGATCAGTAAGAACTTCCAAATGTTTTTTTCTTTCTAGAACAAGTGTTGATGTGCAGTATAAACCACTGTTATTTGGGTCCCATGAATGAATAACTCAATTTGAAAATTCAATATAAAGAATAAGCACCCTCCTTCAAGCTCATCTTCTCGTTCTTTTGTAATGTGTGTCACCACTTGTCTTGACTCGAGCATGGCACTGAAATTCGAGTATATCTAATCTAGGACAAAGATTGTCTGCCCTTCTTATTTTTGTGCCCTCCCGTGCCTTTTTGTTTTGTGTGGTCACGATTAAGCCACGTCAACATTTTATATTACTATTTATTTTTGTCTTATTATCTCTATAAAAAAATAATATAAAATGTTAACATGACTTAATCATGACCATACAAAATAGGAGGGCACGGGAATAAGGAGGGCAGACAATCCTTGTCCATCTAATCGACATTCCTTTCTAGTTTTGCTTTTTCCCCTTTTGACTGTTTGGTGTTAGATCTTATCTTATCATAGATTTTGTTCTTTTGTTAAATCTAACTCATATCCAGTTAGTTGTTTTGAATCTGATGTTGTATTGTTAACCACCATTTTGCAAAATGATTTTATTGTAGAAATTCATATCTTTTCTTCGAGGATCATTTTAGTCTAATCAATATTATTATGATTTATATAGCAACTGAAATATCACGATTTATAATTTCACAACATAATATATTACATAATAACTTGGTCATCATTTATAATTCGAAGTTTTATTGACATTTCACAATTTGTTATTACACCTCTTTAAAATTTGGGAGTATTAAATAATTTATATGACCTAATATGAATAACAATTGAAGACATAAAGTTTTTAAAACAATTTTGTTTTCTTTGTACACCCCCTTGCCCAACATAAGATAAACTTGCATCCAAAAAACCATTTTCTTCAAGCTCTCAGGTTTATTGTCACCATCTTAGTAGAACGAAGTAAACTTAACCGTAAAGACACAAATTATGAAATATGTTGTTTAAAAAAGTTTATAGTTAGTAAATGGAACATAAAATCAGTTGTTCAGAGTCTCTACACGAGGTATGGTTTCATTTTTTTTTCGTTGTGCATTAGTTTTAACGATGTTCATACTATTGGTCGTAGAGTATGACTGTGATGATGTTTTAATTCTATTCCATGAGTAGTTCAAAATTATCACTTTTAGAAGAAAAAAGATTTATCTATTAATAATCAGTATTCTCTATATTTTTTAATTGTAGTTTGGTAGGACCAATTATATACACTCCACCCTAACTCCAAGAGCCATGACCATGACTTGGCACGATCGAAGACAAACATCAAATATATTGGTTTGGTGAGAAATTAGAATAATAAAATTGGTAAGTGGTTATAGTCGTATTAGCTGCACAATTAGAATATTAGCTGCATTATATAGACGTACGAAACCATTTGACCTAATTTATAACCCAACCCTATAGGCTATAGGTACTTCCCAACCAAATGAATATTGCTGATTAAACTATACAATTTAATTAACAAATCAAATGACGGTAAGATGGTCATTAACATATGCTTGGATTATTGGACTAATTAACCCTAAAAAATGTAAAATAGTTATACTTTTTCTCAACCATATTCATAGGTGAACTAAACTACAGAAACTGCTACTAATATTGCATAAAATTAGCTGCAGAAAAACTTGAAAGTTGTACCAGATCTCTACTTTTGAGAGGCAAAGCATGGAAAGTATCAAATGTTGCACTTTCAGATAGTCCAAGCTGTTATCGATCATCAAAACCTAGCTAGCTTCGAACAATTTGCATGAGCATTGGGGTATTTTCTTTTGACAAATGCTAAGGGACTATTAATAGTGGGACTCTTCATGTACTATCATCTCACTGTTTAGTGTCAATTATCGTACCAACATTGTATAACATTGTGAAAAAAAAAAAGATGACGTCAAAGAGTGGGACTCTTTATAAAAAGTTCCACTTTTGAGAGCGTCCCCTAAGCATTTATCTTTTCTTTTATATCTAATTATTTTATTCTTGTTGGTTAGTGATGAGAAGTTTGTGTTTGGTATCAAATTACTAATATATATTATATGTTGTAATTGCCAACACCCCAAACCCTAAACGATGAAGCACATAGAATTCCATAATATTGTTTCCGATGGAGAAATGTCTAATATCATAAAATAAAATAAATTCTATTCAGCAACCATGCATTATATAGAATTATAGACATGTGTATAACGTACTTATAATTTGTAGCAATTCCACTAATGCATTTCAAATTTAAGAATAATTTGATTACTTAACTCATGTTTTTAATTTATTGTTATTTTTTTTTCTACCATAGGCTCATGAGTTTAATGTTATTTGTTCTTTTTTTCCGGTCAACAGCTCTTATATCCTCATATACCCAACCTTTTACTTGATTGTACAAAAATATATTTACACAGGTAAAACTGTGTAGGGCTTGCGTTAAGTCACACAACCAGTCAACACATTTAAATTGATATCAAACTCGTAATTTATTGAAGTTGAACCTAACTGACTTATAACTCCAAACAAGGATAAAACTGTGATGAACTTTTCTTAATTTACAATCAAGTTTTGAAGTTTAATAATAATTTGATGAATATACCAAGTGGTTGATTGCCTTGGTAGTGATAAAAAGGGCACTAATACCTTATATTGTAATAGAATTATAGTGGATTTCATGCAATTTTCCATCAATATATTTACTTTTAGGATCCATACCTTCATGTTTGTAACCTGACATTAACATTATTAATATAGTGTGTGAATTACTAAAAAGTGAAAGGTTACACAATAATTATCAACTTTTACAGTCCAATAATAATAAAGGAAAACTAATGAAAAAGGCTTGAAAACTTTGAGTTTTAATGATAAGGACAAAATAAAGGGTAAAGTAAATAGTACCAGGATTGACTTTTTAGTGTAAAAATGTGGTTTTTCATTAAAGTGAACAGTACCAGGTGTTTTTTGTTAAAGTTCCCTAATAATAATAAGGTTATAATTAATAACACATTATGATATTGTTATTACTAGAATAAAATTGGTGTTTACATTGTGGATGTCCTATTACACTATCAATGTAGAATATTATATGTGAACCTGATTACATTACAAAAGTATCGTTCAAAGTAAAAAGTATCGAGGTATCTTTTTTTTGTTAAAAATACTGTAGACTAAACCCATAAAAAATAGTACATTCGCCGAAAGGGTAAAGAAGAATTCATTGAGACAAAAAAAAAAAAAAAATGAAGAAAGTATTTCTTTTTAATTACTTTCTCTAAATTCTGAAATTAATGGTGAAAAAACATGAAGAAGCAAAGGGTTGGGGGCTGAGGTGGGGTTTTGAGTCATTGTGATGGGGTTCAAAGTTTTCTCCTTTATTCGGAAAAGTCTGAAATTCCCTTGATCTAGATCCACCAACCAAACCAACACAGATGTCTATTTCTTTTTGTTTATGTCAGGAAGGAATCATGCCATCTAAGCTATGATCTATCATTTTGCTAATTAATTAGTTTTAAGGAGGAAAGTGTTACTGTACAATACCATTTATCAATGTGGCTAAAACTATGTGCTAACTGTGATCATAATATAATCGAACTGATAAGCTCATGCGTAGGATGAATGCTCTTAATTAATTAAATTATACGTTCTTTTAATAAAAACAATTAGTTGGTAAGGACGACTTACAGTTTGAAATCGAGTTTAAGATGATTAAAAGGGATCAAATTTTGATTTCAAGTACATATACATATAAATGATTATCAATCGTTGATGTACGTACATGTATTACTAATTAAGTTTCACAAACATCGATTAACAATTTGTAGTGGCACGTCGGACTAAAAACAAACACATGCAATACTTTTAAATAAAATAGTGGTGTGATATCCACGCACTTTTTTACTTCTCACACACCATTCTAATTTTAGGCCTTGGATTAGATGAATTAAAGAAAATCAAATGACTGAAATTAACAAGAGGTGTGTGAGAAGTAAAAAAGAATATATGGATAGCACATCCCATAAAATATGGAAACGGCTTGCCAAATGTTTGCACTCCATTTTCAATTTCTCATTTTGTTTTTTCTTTTATGGAAGAAGGGGAAATTTTGGACTTCCCAACCAGCACGTGAAATTGCATCAAATACTTATTTAGGAAAACTGTTTGACCCCTCTTTACATATACAAAGTCATTCTTTTTTATGTAAAAGCGTGTAACAGTTTATTGTATAAACGTTATAATTAAAATTCGTTACTCTTTATTATTATTTAAAAGTTAGTTTTAGAACTTATATTTGATTTGAAAGTAATTTAGTCATTTATATAAATCAAATAAATTGATTGTTTATCATAAAAATGTTATTTGTAACCATAAATGTCAATTTATTCCAACACATATGAATGATTAGACAATTTTCAAATCGAATAAGGGTTTCAATTACAACGTTTTAACAATGAAATAGTATAATGTCACCGGAGCCAAGTATTGTCGATAAATATTAAAAGGTCGCATTCTTCTTTTTCTTATCCAAACCACCTTACATATAAGCTTACTTGTGCTCTGTGCATATCCACAAAATTTTATTCCTTTTATAAAAAGTTTAATTTAATTTATCATCCCCCCCACACACCACTTTGTCCTTTCCCACCGAAATGACCATAACACCCATCGCAACCACACACAATATTTTACACCCTAGACGCATGTTTTTACCAAAACACCCTTACGTGCGAAGTATTCAAGAAGCCGGCATTTTGGACTGTATTGGCAAATCCACAATAAAATACCGGTCAACCGTCCATCACCCCCCTCCGCAGGCTGCTACTCAGTCTCCTTCCGACCTTCCTACCATTTACAGTTGTTTGTTAAAAAGATCATCACGTTTTATGCTTCCTACCAAATTACCAAACACAGAAAATCATGACAAATTCCAAATTCAATGTTCACAACTACTCGTGAAGATTACTACAAAAGATGAAACTGCAGCTTAGTCGAAAAATTGTTCACGTTAATTTTAGGTGGTGCATACTCGACCGGGTTTCGATTATCCGGGGGTTTTTCAGATTCATCTGGGACAGGCTTCTTGCTTGTTCGATAGGGAAGCCGGCGGCCAGGTACCGGAGATTGCCCAGCGGAGCTTTCTCGCCGCCACCGGAAGTTTTGGAGGGAGTTATGGTGGTGGACAATCCCACAAGTACTAGTTGTAACGTGTATGAGACGGATGCGGATTTGGTGAGCTTGAAGATCAGTTTGCTGGGTGATTGCCAGATTGGAAAGACAAGTTTTATGGTAATTATATAAGTAATTTATGGCTTAATTATGATTTGTTAATTTGGTTGTTGGCTAGCTATAGTCTTATGTTAATAATGATGATTTTTATTAATTTTTTCTTCTTTTTCCTTTTCGTTCTTGAAGAGCAAATATGTTGGGGATGAGCAAGAAGATAGATATTTGCAGATGGCAGGAGTAAATTTGATGGATAAAACGTTGATTGTTCAAGGCGCTCGGATTTCGTTTAGCATTTGGGATGTCGGAGGTATGCACAGATATGCGTGAAAAATGTCTATTATCAGACAATCAGACGGTATGATGTATTTAATTTGTTGTTCTGCGTTCTTTGTAGGTGACCAGAGTTCGATAGATCATGTTCCAATAGCCTGTAAAGACGCAGTAGCAATTTTGTTCATGTTTGATCTTACTAGTAGGTGCACACTAAACAGGTCAGCTCATAATTTTCTGATATGTGACATTTTAACTCAAATTGTTCAGCAGTTAATAATACTAATAGAAATTGGTGTTTTTTGTTGTTGTTCTTGCAGTGTTATTGGATGGTACTGTCAAGCAAGAAAATGGAACCAGGTACTGTTTACAGTTTATCTTTTACAGGATTATAATTGGGTAATTAAATTTAGAGGCATCCTTAGTTAATTAGCCAATGATCACTGTTAGCAATGTCAAAATTTATGGCCACCTTTAAAAGTTAGTGCAGAATTTGTACTTGGCTAGAAAAAGGACTCTGAACCATCATGGATAGTGAGGATGAAATTTAAATTCATGTTTCACACGGCACATTTTAGATTTGATTCTTGACATTGGTGAATTGCACGTTAGTAGTCAATGGAGGTTCAAATGTCTTTATGAGTCTTCTCGACCTCTAAAAAAATATGGACTGTCGTGGTAAAGTCACTAACTGGTTTTATTTTTTATAGAAAAATAAAAGGACTCCTGAAATGTTGTTATTATTAATGACACTGAAATTATTTCTATGTAGTTATCTAATTAAGTTCGTACTTTCTGTTTGTTAACTTGCAGACAGCAATTCCCATACTAATTGGGACCAAATTTGATGATTTTGTGAGACTTCCTCCAGATCTGCAATGGACAATTATAACCCAGGTACTCAAATTTCCTGCAAATTTTGATTAAAACTGATACTACCTAGAGGGAAAAACAAAATTGATATCGTGAATGGGTTAGTCTTAATAACTACTAATCTGATAATTTAGTTTTCAAAGTGTGACATGTGGAGCAGAAGGTTTTGGTAATAAATATTTTTGAAGACTTGGGGGTCTTCTCCTGTCAATTCATAGGATTGACACATGCCTAACTCATGCTTCTCTTTTCGCGTCAAGATTTTGCATAAAAGCCCCACTCGTTGACTAAATTTAGCATAAAGCCCCACTTGTTGGCTAGATTTTGCACAATGGATCATAGATTTATATATAAATATATATTGCAGGCCAGGGCTTATGCAAAGGCTATGAAGGCGACCCTTTTCTTCTCGAGTGCAACCCACAACATCAATGTGAACAAGATTTTCAAATTTATCTTGGCCAAGCTTTTTAATTTGCCATGGAAAGTTGAGAGAAATTTGAATATTGGAGAGCCAATCATCGATTATTAAAATTTAAAAGTGTATTTTCTTTAGCCACTCATTCCGTGTACATATTTTCAGGATAAAAAAGAGAAATGATAACCACATGCATACTTTGTTCATTGTTTTCGATTGATTTATTCAATCGGATGAACTGAAATAAGGAAGAGTGTGTTAGAGTACAAAAATATTATGTGGTTATTAATATCATTTCTCGAAATATAGAGAAAGGATTTATGTTGTTTTGTGTGTAGAGCTCACCCCTATCTATCATGTTATATGGTGATTAATCACATAATGATAGAAGAGAGAGAGGTGGTAGCGTGGTTTCTTTTTGCAGTGAGTTTGTTATGGTTGTTGCAGTGAGTTTGTTCACGCAAAGTTACAAAAACAATAATAATAATATTATGATTGTGTCTGAAGAAAAATGCTTAGGCCATCTCTAACCGAGGGTTGGTCAGAGGGCTCGTTTTAGCCCTCTGGCCCTCCAAGATTCTCCAAGATATTAATATTTTAATAAACAGTACATGGCCATATTTGCCTTCGTCTCCAACCGAGGGCCAAAGGGCCAGAGGGCTCATTTTAGCCCTGTCATAAAAAATCGTCTCCAACCGAGGGTCAAAGGGCCATAAGGCCAAACATAATTTATTATTTAAATTTAAAAACTACAACAACTTAAATTTAAAAACAACAACTTATATTTAAAAACTACAAATTGAATTTAAAAACTACAAATTAAATTTAAAAACAACATTAACTTAAATTTAAAAATTACAACGACTTAAATTTAATATCCATAATCAACATCATCTTCATCATCAGCCATTGTAGGAATATAGTCAGAGGTAAACAATTGCCGCTGAGACATAATTTCCTTTTTTTTCCTATCAAAATAGGCCTTACTCATTGGAGTGTAATTCGAAGTGTTCTTTTCCAAATTCTTATCATCCATCTCTTCTTGTATTTGTTTGGCCCGTTCTTCATGTCTACACTTCCTTTCTTCCGCCTCAAGGGCATTTTGCTCTGCCAGTAATCGCAATGAGGCCGCCACTTCATGTTGAGCGGCGTAATCAGCATTTGCCTGACCCTTTTCCCTCAACCTTCGGGCCTTGTTTCGTCCCATAGCCCTAGGTAAAGAACTTTCGGACGGAGTCGGATTTTCTACCCTTGTTTGTTGAATGGTAGGAGATCCATCTTCATTCATATCTACAGAGATGAAGATGTAGCTCCCAAAGGATCCACTCTATGTTGACATCTTCAAATAACACCCACCCTTTACAAATTTCCCAACAACCGTGAAACTGAAAGGGTTTTGAGCTGCCCTCCATATACAATTCCTCCGCTTGGCGTACCTAGAAAATATAATTACAAAAATTTTAGGAAATTAATTCACGAAATTAAATGTAATATAATGACATATAATTACAAAAATTAAATGTAATATAATTAAACATTTAAAATAAACTGTGAAAACACTAACTTCGTCATAGTAATTGGTGTCGCTTTCATGTCTACTTGCTGCTGCTAATAGTGCTTGATGCCATTTATTCAAACTTGGATGAAGATGTTTCTTCCATCTTGAAGAACAACTTTCGTGGTTTCAGGTATTCGGTGGAATGGTGCCTTCGTAGAACTCTAAGTATTTTTTGGACACACGAGTCCAAACACCTTCACTTGTTTGAGAAATCCCCCTCACACTATCTTTTGAGACCCATCTATAAGCCTTGCAAAGAGCTTCATCTTCTTTTCGGGTCCAAGCCCTACCTTTCATTGCAGATGAGGCCATTTTTTTTTGAAAAAAATGAAGGAAATATTGAAGGAAATTATTGAAAAAATATTGAAGGAAATTATTGAAAAATTGAAAACAATATTATAGATGAAGGAAATATTGGAAAATATATTGAAGGAAATATTGAAGGAAATATTGAGAAATATATTGAAGGAAATATTGAAAAATATTAAAGAAGGAAATATTGCAAATGAAGTGAAGAATTGAAAGAACTTCACCATATTTATAGAAGAAAAGAAATGTTTAAAATTAAAAAAAAAAAAAACAAAAAAACCCAACGGCTAGCTGACTCAGCTAGCCATTGTATTCAAAAAAATTTCAAACTATTAACCGACACTAATAGTAAAACTATAAAAAATAAGAATTTCTCTTTAATGCTGTCGGTTATAACCGACAGCAATAGGAAAACTATATAAAAAAAAAATAGCCAGCCAGCCAGCCCCCTTTGGCCCTTTGAAATTCCGTGGGGCCCTCCCAGATTCCAGAGGCCTCTGGCCTAGCCCTCGATTGGAGACGGTTTTAGGGCTATTTTCGGCTCTCTGGCCCTCTAGAGACCCTTCGGTTGAAGATGACCTTAGTTCCTTCCTACAGGCCAAATTAATTCGGCAGTAAATATTCATATGCCATAAATTATAGGGGAAATTTGGAAAAATAACCAAATTTTAGACCCCATATAGAATTATAGCCACCATTTTAATTTTATGATAATTATAACCAAAACTTGATGTAAAAGTACTAATATACCCTTAATATTAGGGTTTCTCACAACAACCAAAACAAAATTTTTAACTATCCTAAAATGAGAAATTAATCTTCATCACTTTTTTGTTTTCACTATTCACTTTGCATATGCAATTTCGTATTCTTTCTTCATCAACTGGAAAAATATATTGGAATGTATGCAATTTAGTCAGTGAAACACTAAATCGAAGTATCTAATTACAAAAATAATAATTAGCTATGGAATTAGTACCTTCTGAAGAACATTCTCATAGGTTGTCTTGCTAATTAAAGAGAAAGTTAATTCAGTGGCCTCAATCTGCAATAATCCTCAACATTTTAAGGTAGTTTAAAGGTTGTGTTGTGGTTGTTATGAGAAACCCTAGTATTAAGGGTATATTAATACTTTTACATCAAGTTTTGGTTATAATTATCATAAAATTAAAATGGTGGTTATAATTCTATATGAGATCTAAAATTTGGTTATTTTTCCAAATTTCCCAAATTATAGTTGATTCGAGTATAAGCACGACTGTTTACTTGGAAGTCAACCAGTGTTTGATGGTTTGTTCAGGCAAATTAGAAACAGAAAGCAGATGTTTAAATAATCAATTTTCCACTTAATTCAAGCGCATCCTTCCTTAATTTAGATACCTAAATTAAGGAATGTGTCTCCATTTAGGCTAGAACTGATGTACAATAAAATTGGGATAGACCAGAAGGTGAACATTAATGAAGATGTAAGTAAAATAAACTATTCGTTGTTGTAGGCCTATTTAACCGAAGAATTATAGAGAGCGAGAAAAAGGTGTGGCGGCAAGGAGACAGAAATTTGGTGAATTTTGAGGTGTTTGTTATGCCTTTATTTATAGTACCAGGAAAGGTAATTTCTTGACCCTTTAGGTATACAACTGAATACGACAATATCTAAAAGATTTTACATAATCACAATTGATTTACGCAATCACATTCATAACTAAATAAGGTCTGCAAACTCCCACTTGAGTGTGAAAGTACTTAAACAAAACATTGCATCGATGTTATATAGTTTCTAGAAACTTAAAAAACTCCGAGCAATATTTTCACTAACGGTAAAATTTTGAATGTAATATCAACGACCTGAACTGTTCATCTTCCTGCATCTTCTAAAAGATCGTGTTTTCAAAATTAAAAAAAAAATCTGAAAAACAAAATTTGGTGAGAAGAATTGACTGTAAATGTAAACGACAATTAACGGTTAAATTTCGATCTGTAGTTTATGTGATTGTAGTAGCGAATTTCGAAGTTGACCATTCACGAAAGTTGTAAAGCTTGTCATTATGAGGGTTTATATATATATTTTTATATTATTCACACTTTTGCATTAACTAATATTTATTTGATACTTGAAAGACAAATGTGTTTTTATGTTTTGAAGTAATATTTATGTACCAATGTCGCAAGTATATACAAATTTAGTATTATATTTTCATTTGATTATTTATTGGTTTTAAATATATTTTGTTTAATAGGTAACGGGTTTGGTCATATTATCTGTTAATAGGTTGGATTCGGGTCGAGTTCGGGCCGGGTCATATTACCCCCTTTTAATGGGTGTTACATGACACGACCCATTAAGATATTGCGTATGACATGAAAACGGCATGAACACGAAAAACACGACATGAATGCCAGGTTTAGCATTGAGTGATCACCACCTATGGGTATTCGTAAGAGTGACTTTGTTTGGTCAATCTGCATTGGGGACCACTTCTTGCTTGGTTACTTATTGTAGGTTTCGATCGAGTTGTGTCGCTCTAGCTCTAGTTTTCAACATATTTATGAACTATAGATTTAAGAACCTTTGTGGATTGATTTAGAAAAGTTGTTGGCTATCTGGTTGAGTTCTTTGGGATTTCCAACGAGTTTGATTATGATTTTATAAGCTATGGTTTTATAATTGATATTTAATCACTAAGATCAATAGATTTATTCTACGATTATTATATACGTTGAATTATTGTCAATCACATGAGTTTAGCAACTTATCCGGGTTGTTGCTTAGTGGGGTAGTAGTTCAGAGACCACCGAGTTTGGGCATCTAGGTTCCTTGTATTATTTTGGGATTTATATTTTAGAATCTACGGACATGGCTTGGTCCTAGTGAGGGTTTGTATATTATGGGTGTATAGACTTTCGTATATTTTTGTGGGAGAGAACCTGTGGATGCAAATTTCTTCTTCCTTGATCTTGGACAAAATTGCACCAACAAAATAAATAACACCTTTGGTTATGGCCACAAGCCTCACGCGCCTACGATGAATGGGAGGGGCTTTGGCCGAAGAACCTCCGATGCCAAAGTTAGAATTTAGAGAGAAATAGTTGTAGACATCGAAATTTCAGTAAATAAATGTTGACCGATAAATCAAAGTGTCAACGCTCATGTATTACATAAATTTTACACGTAGCGTGTGACTCAACGAAAATTGAAATAAGTTGGAAAAGTCATCAAATAGGACACGTGTCAACACCTGGCAGAAACGACTTATTTCATCTGGAATATTATATTCAAAATTAGGCCTTGGAAAATTCTATAAATACAAGCCCATTTCATTCATTTGAAGGGAGGAATTTCATATTACACCTTGAAGCTCTGAAGCTCTGAAACTCCGAAGCTCTCAAGCATCCAGGTTCCCGAAGAATCGAGAAAGCTCTCTTCGTTCTTCGTTCATCGTTCTTCCAAGATCAAGCCCA